CAATGCCAGAGCATGCCCTGTCCGTCCAGCCACCTTTCCACACTGGTTCCATGCTTCAGTCATGCCTATCCCATCACCCAGTGAAGCCTCCATAAGACACCCAACAGGACAGGGTTTGGGGAGCTTCCAGAGGGCTGACCACGTGGAGGTTCCTGGAGGGTGGCCGCCCAGCTTCGCACCCCTCCCCCATACCTCACCCTATACCTCTCTTCATCTGTATCCCTTGTAATATCTTTTATGATAAACCCGTAAACATGATTCCCTGAGTTCTGTGAGCTGCTCTAGCAAACTAATTAATTAAACCCAAAGAGGAGGCTGTGGGAACCCCAGTTTGCAGCATGTGAGTCGAAAGCTCTGGAAGCCCAGATTTGTGTGTTTATTTTGGAGACGGAGTCTCACGCTATCACCCAGGCTGGACTGCGGTGGAATGATCTCGGCTCACTGCAACCTCTGCCTCCCGGGTTCAAGTGATTCTCCTGGGAAGCCCAGATTTGTGTGTTTATTTTGGAGACGGAATCTGACGCTATCACCCAGGCTGGACTGCAGTGGAATGTTCTCGGCTTACTGCAATCTCTGCCTCCCGGGTTCAAGTGATTCTCCTGGGAAGCCCAGATTTGTGATGGTGTCTGTGGGAAGCAGGGGAGCAGATAATCCCATGGGACTGAGACCTCAACCTGGGGGATCTGACACTCAAACTAGAGGACACCCAGCTTGTGTCTGTTGCTTGGCCTGTGGGAAACCCCCACACATTTGGTCACGGAAGTCCTCTGTGTTGACTGTTGTTGAATGAAAGAAGAGAAAAAGCCCTCTGAGAGTGTGTGTGTGTGTGTGTGTGTGTGTGTGTGTGTGTGTGTGTGTACGTGTGTGTGTATGTGTGTGAGTGTATGTTTCCACTCGTGGGGTTTTTAGGGGAAATAACGGCACATTTGGTAGGTGAGACATGCTGTCTAACTCACTGTCTTATTTCATTGTCCTGATAAAGACGGAGGCTGGACTTTCCTCTTTCCACCATTTCTGAAGTGTGGCCCCTTCTGCTCTCAGGGGAGCCTGCTGAACATGTGTTCTCTGGCCATCCCTGGGGTCAAGGCCTGGGTGTGGCTTCCAGTACAGCCAGGAAGCTCCTCCCCCAAGTGCTGGGGGCTCAGGAGCTAGCCCTGGGATCCCTCCTCCCGGCCTAGCATGTTGGTTTCAGTAAGTGCTTGGATTTGCTCCCCTGGGACAGGGTGTGGTGGGTTCTGCTGGTGCCCAGACAAGCCTTAGCTAGTGCGGGATGGTGGGCTTGGAGCAGAGACTGGCTCCTGGTGGCTGCTGGGTTCTGCGTGGCCCAGGTGTGTGGCTGTGAAGGCACTTGTCCTCCTGAACCACCAGGTCAAAGAGGAATAGAGTGCAGGAAGCCCCAGAGGGCCAGGGCCAGCCCAGAATCCCCCAGCCCTGTAGTCTTTAAACCCCACTTTTTGGGGTCAGTGATACATTGTTCTGATAATATAGATTAGAATCCCAGTGTGTCAAACACAGGAGACAGCTGCTCAGGGTGGATCTGGGATGAGGCCTGGACTCCCTACCCCCAACCCAGATACACTCCGAGAACCTCCTCCCTGACACCCTCACTCCCAGGCCACCGAGAGGCACAGTTTGACAAGCACTAAAGGAAACTGTCCCCATGATGCATAGTGGAAAAAACAGAGGCTTTGTCCAAGGTCACCCAGCAAAGCAGGGGCAGAACCTCGAGTGGTGGGCTGAGTCTTGGGGTCTGTGCTCAGGACCCTCCTATTGCTGCCCACCCCCCAATTCCAAGGCCAAGGGGAGCCAAAGTCAACATCTACCTGCGAATTCAGCTTTGCAGGGTGGCTCTTGCTCCAGAAAGAAACTTCTCCTAAGGTGAGGAGAGTTAGGTCCACATGGGAGCCCACGGGGCCTGAGCCCACTCCATCTCGTCCCTCCACCCCAGCTCCACAGCCAGCGAAGCTCTGCAGACTCTGCCCACCTCCTCTTAGAGATGAAAGGTCTGGGGAGTTCTGCCACCGCTGCTCACCTAAGAGTTCCCAGATTTGACCATGAACTCCCTTATTTCTGAGAAACACTCCAGAGCATTCTCTGGCATCCCAGAGGTAGGTTACAGCTGGGGATCAATTACAGAGGAGTAATTGAGGTGGGGAGCCCAAGGACTAGCTTTGGAGCCAAGGGTTCCCAGTCCAGTCCTGCTGCTAACCAGAAGGGGACTGTAGCCAGTCCCCTAGGAGAGGACTGTTCCTGTTCCCTTCATGAATGCAAACCTCAGCCCTCGGGAATTACCAGTGGGAAGACAGGCCACTTCTTTGTCTGCCTCAGAGGACTGAGACCAATTTATGGAGAAACTGAGAGATGGATGTCCTCACAAGCCCGTATTCCAGATGAAAAGCTGACGCCCAGTGAGGGGAATGGCCACATAGGGACACTGGATAGCCTGGGAGTTCAGACCAAGGATCCTACATCCCCTCCACCGCAGACCCCACCCAGGCTGGCCGAGCTGCTGCACAGAAACATGTGGGTGACCTCCCGATTCCAGCAGCTGCTCTCACTGAGCTGGGACCACGTGACTGAGACTCGCCTTTCCTCATTTCAACCCTGCTTGTGGGGCTCCACATCAGCGGAGAACATGCTTGTTCACTGTGTGTTCCCAGACTCTGAAACAGAGTACTTCACACTTACTGAATGAATACATGAATGAATCAGTGCCATCCCCCCAATAGCCCCTTTCAGTAAGTACTCTTTTTTTTTAAGACAGAGTTTTGATCTTGTTGCCCATTCATGAGTGCAATGGCACCACAACCTCCACCTCCCGAGTTCAAGTGATTCTCCTGCCTCAGCCTCCCGAGTAGCTGGGATTACAGGTGTGCGCCACCACACCTGGCTAATTTTTTTGGATTTTTTAGTAGAGATGGGGTTTCACCATGTTGACCAGGATGGTCTCGATCTCTTGACCTCGTGATCCACCCGCCTCGGCCTCCCAAAGTGGTGGGATTACAGGCTTGAGCCACCGCGCCCGGCTGGCAGTGACCCTTCTCCCCTTCTGCCTGGCTTGGATTTGCTCTTTCTGGTCCCTTGAACACTGCAGTCTCTGCCTGCGTTCCTACTTCAGCCCACTTAACTCTCCGATGAGAAAGATGTCCAAATGCATCTGTGGTGTTTTCTCCCATCTTCCTTTTACCTCCCTTGCCTTTGTTTATTATATTTTTAAGTCATGGAGGTCTCTTTTGTCTTTCTTTACCTTTGCACCCAGCCCCTTCCAAGCCAGTGCTGTCTTTTGGCCAATTTTTTTCTCCTCTGGGGTGCAGAGGGGAGTGATGGAGAAACTGCTGGTTGGGCCAAGAGAGGACTGTGGCCAGTAGGCAGGGCCACAGGGCTAGGTCGGCCCTGTCTTGGTTGCCTTAAAGCTTTATTAGAAAACAGGGCCGGGCGCGGTGGCTCAAGCCTGTAATCCCAGCACTTTGGGAGGCCGAGGCGGGTGGATCACGAGGTGGAGAGATCGAGACCATCCTGGTCAACATGGTGAAACCCCGTCTCTACTAAAAATACAAAAAACTAGCTGGGCGTGGTGGCGCGTGCCTGTAATCCCAGCTACTTAGGAGGCTGAGGCAGGAGAATTGCCTGAGCCCGGGAGGCGGAGGTTGCGGTGAGCCGAGATCGCGCCATTGCACTCCAGCCTGGGCAGCAAGAGCGAAAAGAGCGAAACTCCGTCTCAAAAAAAAAAAAAAAAGCTTTATTAGAAAACAACTCCCAGAGAGGCATCAGTGTCTGGAAGGCAGACCAGGGAACTTCGCAAACATAAGCTGAGTAAGGAAAATGAATCAGCAGATCGCAGAACAGGTCCCAGGGAGCCAGCGTTTGCAGCTAAAAGGTGAAAGCGTGACCTTTAGAACAGCACTCACCAGCTCCCAGGGCTGGTGCCAGGCACCTCCAGACTGAGAAAACAGTCCCTGCCTTTCGGGAACCTGTGGTCCTCTAAAGAAACCCCAAGGACACAGGTATTCACACCCCTGAGGGACCTGGGAGGCTGTGCCCAGCCACTAGGCGGCTCTGGGTTTCCAGCTTCCAGCTGCACTGTTACCCGGAGCACACCCGGGGCCTCTCTGAGCCCCTCTTTGCCCGCGGTCTCTGTCTGGGTCCCCGCCCCCTATCCCTTTGATGACTCTCTCCTTTCTTTTCCCTTAGGGCCCCTTTCTTTTCCCTTAGGGCCCCTTCCTTTTGCCCCCTCCCCTCCTGTAAGGTTTCGGCTATGAAAACCTTCTACCCCATGTGCTGGCCGGCCTCTACTGAGCTGCAAGAGAGTCTCTCCTGAGGTCCCAGAGTCCCTGGGGTGGACAAGAGCAGCCCCTTCCTGGAAGGGAAAACGCAACCCCGACAGGCCGTGGGAAGAAAGTGTGACCAACCCCATTCCACAGAATAGGAGGCTCCAGGTAATTCTGGGAGCCACTCGCTGGTGTCCCCTCGCTGGGCAGGGGCGCCTGGCTCAGAGGCCGCGAGAAAAGGAGGACAGATCCTAAAGCGGACAGCAAGCGGCGTCCAGCTGGTTCTCCCTTTCCGTGACTGCTTCAGAGCTCTTCCAGACACGCACTTTTCCCCTCCCTGGGCCCTCGAGCTGGTCCTGCTGCATCCCAGACCAAGTCGTAGAAGCCAGGCCCAGGGTCCGCTCAGGCGCTCGGCCCCCGCAGGACCCGGTTCCAGAGACCCGGGGCGGGGGCTCTCGGGCCGCAGGGGCGGGGCCTGCGCTAGGTGGGCGGGGCCTGTGCTGGGTGGGCGGGGCTGCGCTCCCTCTTCCGGGTGTGACTTCACCAGCCACACCCGCGCCCTCCATCCGCCTCCCGCCTGCCCAGCTCTAGGCTGCACCTGAGCCTCCACTCGCGCGGGTATCGCTGGCGTGCCCAGGCCAGCCGAGTCCGTTTTCCGCACCAGGGTGCGCCCATCCGTCCATCCTAACGCCGATCCGGCGGCAAGGAGTAAGTCTGCACCCCGCAGGGACAGTCGCGCTCCCTCGGCCCCACCCAGACCCCGCCGCGAGGGGGAGGGAGGAGGAGCGCCCGAGCCCAGGAGGTGCACACCTCTCCCGGGTCCCGACCCTGGACTGGGGTCGGCAGCGCTCGGGATGGGCTCTGTGTTCACGGGAGGCGAAGCGAGACGGGGCTTGGAAACCCAGGTGGAGAAACTGAGGCCCCAGAGGTAGAGGGAGAGGGCTTGCCGGACACTCCCGAGTGAGCAGCGGCCTAACCCCCAGAACCCCTGCCCTCCGCTCACTGTGGCCGGGGCTATGCACCGCTTTGCAGCCGTTCCCGCGCACCCTCCACCCGGCGCAGTCCCCCATCCACTGAGGCTGGGGGCAGGGGATGACTGGCCCAAGGTCACCGACAGCGGGTTGAGGCGCATTTCCACCGTTCCCTGGAGGACCCGGGTCCAGTCTCCCAGAGAAGTGGACAGCGGCCACCTCACTACTTTCCGGGAATCCTGGGCGCCCCTCCCCGCGCATCCTGCGCTGGGACTGCGTGTGTTCTCGCTGTGCCTCGGGGCTTGATTCCAGCAAAGGGTGATTCCCTCCCTCGTGCTGCTATCCTGGGCTCTTGGCCGGAGGCCTCCGCCCAAATCGGAGAATGGACCGAGGGAGGGAGATGCGGGAGCCAAGGCAGGGGCCACCGCCTCCATGAATTGGGCCCCAGCCTCTCTCCGAAAGGACAGCTGGAAGCAACAGCTGAGCACCGAGCTGTGCGCCTCCCAGAGCTGCCAGAGCTGAGCCCGGGGATCCAGCGGGACCTAGCGTCCACATGACCCCGGTGGGTGACAGAGGGGAGGGCAGGGCTGCAGGGCTGGGGTCACCGTCTCCAGATAAAGAGCGTTCCTGGCCTGGCACAGTGGCTCACGCCTGTAATCCCAGCACTTTGGGAGGCCGAGGCGGGGCGTCACCTGAGGTCAAGAATTTGAGGCCGGGCGCAGTGGCTCACGCCTGTAATCCCAGCACTTTGGGAGGCCAAGGCGGGTGGATCACGAGGTCAAGAGATCGAGACCATCCTGGTCAACATGGTGAAACCCCGTCTCTACTAAAAATACAAAAAATTAGCTGGGCATGGTGGCGCGTGCCTGTAATCCCAGCTACTCAGGAGGCTGGGGCAGGAGAATTGCCTGAACCCAGGAGGCGGAGGTTGCGGTGAGCCGAGATCGCACCATTGCACTCCAGCCTGGGTAACAAGAGCGAAACTCCATCTCAAAAAAAAAAAAAAAAAAAAAAATTTGAGACCAGCCTAGCCAACATGGTGAAACTCCCGTCTCTACTAAAAATACAAAAATTGGCTGGACGTGGTGGCTCATGCCTGTAACTCCAGCTTCTCAGGAGCCTGAGGCAGGAGAATCTCTTGAACCCAAGAGGTGGAGGTTGCAGTGAACTGAGACCACACCACTGCACTCCAGCCTGGGTGACAAGAGTGAAACTCTGTCTCAAAAAAAAAAAAAAAGGCGTTCCTTTGCAGGTGTTTCCAGGACCTCAGAGACCAGGCTTAGAGCCTGACACCCCTGGGAGGGGACAGCCCGATCCGCCCAGGCCGGTGGGGCCTCTGCAGGTGCCCGATGCATCGCCAGAGACTGGCCCTGGGTCTGGGGATCTGCCTGTTGGTGGGCACAAGCCTCAGTGTCCTGTGGTGAGTCTGCCCCACGGAGCTCTCCCTGTCTCTATCCCCACCCAGGACTCCCCCTGTCTCTGCAGATCAATCCCAAAATCTTGATCTCCTCATAGGGTTCCAGGTCCACCAACCCCTCCTGGCTCACCTGTTTCCTAACCCCAGCCCCAGCGAGACCCAACTAGTGTCGCTTGCTTCTGAATTCTGCCTTGTACGGGCCTCCTGGCCTTTGACTTGCTCTTTTCTCTGCGTGGACCATCCATCAACCCATGTTGATAGGGAATTCCTGTTTTGCTCCCAAATTCACCCTCTGCGTCTGTCCTTCCACGAAGCTCGTGGGGCTGCCCCTCACCCTGCTTGTGTGTGGTGCCTAGCATCAAGAATATGCACTCCCTAGGAATGAATGCCTGCCTGCCAGGCCCTGTGACACATGCCAGAAATACCAGGAGGCTTTGTCCTTTGAGGTCAGCCAGACCTACAGAATCACAGGGGACCTTCCTCCCTAATGCACCGTGGGAGACCTTCACTCCCAATGATGTGCATGAGGTGTGTTTTCAGCCTCCGGAGCAGAGTGGATCAACAGATTTTTTTTTTCTTCCCAGGGTGTATGTTGAAAACTGGCTACCGGTCTCCTATGTGCCCTATTATCTCCCCTGCCCAGAGATCTTGTAAGTATGGGTGGGGCTAGGAGAATTGGGAGCCCTGTGGGCTGTTCACAAAGTTCACTTCGTCTGCCACTTCCTCATTCATATTTCTGAGAAATGCAGCGGCATTTCGGTAATTTAAAGGCTGTGACAAACATGAAGTGAAATTCCCATTTCGGTCTTCAGCATCCCTGCAGCCCCCTGCATGGTCTGATCTTCTACGAGTTGCACAGCTCTGAGCCTCACTTGCTGTGTCTGTAAAATGGGATGGTAGCAGCCCTCCCTGGCCACTGGGAACATGGAGTGCAGTGATGCCCATAAATAGCCTGCTGCTGCTCCCAGTGAACAGCGCGTGCTCGGCGCTTTTAGGACTTCACCTTGTTGCTCACTTTTGTGTTCTGTGGATTCAAGGAACAAATGAACATGTGACCAAGGCCCTCCTCACCTGAGAAGTCTGACTTTGTTTTACTTTTTTAAGTCTCACTCTGTCGTCCTTTCTGCATACAGTGGCACGATCTCAACTCACTGCAACCCCGCCTCCCTCCTTCTCCTGTCTCAGCCTCTGAGTAGCTGGGATTACAGCCACATGCCACCACACCTGGCTAAGTTTTGTATTTTCACTTGAGACAGTGTTTCACCATGTTGGTCAGGCCGGTCTCGAACTCCTGACCTCATGATCCACCTGCCTTGGCCTCCCAGGGTGCTGAAATTATAGGCATGAGCCTATAATTGAGTCTGACTTTTTAACAGTTAAGACTGAAAAAATGGGTTGGGACAATGTCAGAGGAGCATCTGGACCCATGGTTTTTTGTTTTTTTATGACAACTCAAGGAAAGTTAAACATCTGAAAAAAAAAAAAAAATCTGAATCACAGGCCACTAATTAACAGCAAGGAATATTTTATATTGTAAACATAGAATATAGTAAATTAGGAAGCCAGGAAGGAGAAAAGACAAAAGAAAAAGAAACCCTTGTCAGGTTCACCTGTCCAAAATTACACTGCACTCCCAAAGTTCGTGGTTTGCATTGCATGTTTGCTCTGCTTTTTAATGGAACAGATTAGGCATTCACATGCTTCTAAATGCCGAATGGCTTCTTGCTATTGATAACAGTTGTGATCATACTGTGTTTGCAGTTCTTATCCTGTTTTCCCAGGATGAACTTTGTTTTTCAATGTAGGTCCCATCATCTTTTTTAAAAAATGAGATAAGGTCAGACTCCTGGGCTCAAGTGATCCTCCTGCCTCAGCCTCCCAAAGTGCTGAGATCACAGGCATGAGCTACCACATCTGTCCGGTCACCATCATCTTATTCCACCGAGGGGCTGGTACATAATTCTTGAGCCCCTCTCCCTTTCCCACCACCAGTTGCTGGGCATTTAGGTTGCTCTCAACTTCCCAGAGCTCTGAGTTAGTTTGTGATGAGCAGCATAACCCTTTCTCCATTTCAAAGATCATTTTGTTCCTACATGTTCCCTTAGTGGCTGGAGGATGCGGGTAGGTTTTGAGCCGTCCCATCAGGTTGCTTCCAGATGGACCACAGCACATCAGTCACTCAGGGATGCCCTGCCTGAGCAGCCCAGCAAGGCTACCCTGAATTACACCCGGGCTGCTGCTGGGGATACCAGGAGTTACGAAGACAAAAATGAACCTACCTTGCTGGCTGAGAGAGGGAAAATGCTATCCTCTTTGGCATAAATTTTATTTATTTATTATTATATTGAGACAGAGTCTCACTCTGCTGCCCAGGCTGGAGTGCAGTGGCGCAATCTTAGCTCACTGCAACCTCTACCTCCCGGGTTCAAGCAACTAGTCATGCCTCAGCCACCCGAATAGCTGGTATTACAGGCGCACCAGTTAATTTTTGTGTTTTTAGTAGAAACAGGGTTTCATCATGCTGGGCAGGCTGGTCTAAAACTCCTGACCTCAAGTGCTTCGCCCGCCTTGGCCTCCCAAAGTGCTTGGATTACAGGTGTGAACCACCACCCCTGGCCTTAATTTTTTTTTTTTTTTTTTAATTACTGGTGAGACTCATTTCCCTACGCCTTCCCATTAATTGAATGTTTTCCTGCGTGCAGTGCTTCCTTCCCCACCTCCTGTTTGGTGCGTTTGTGGGTTCTTATCATCACCCTTGGCTGAGTATAGCTACAACTTCTTTTTTCTTTCCAGTTTGTCTATCTTGTGTGATGTGTGTGTGTGTGTGTGTGTGTGTGTGTGTGTGTGTGTGCGCGCGCGCGCGCGGTGGTGGTAGTGGGGGAGGGGGGCATAAAGTCTGGCTGTGTCACCCAGGCTGGAGTGCAGTGGCACCATCACAGCTCACTACAGCCTTGACCTCCTGGGGTCAGTGATCCTCACACCTCAGCCTCCTGAGCAGTTGGGACCACAGGTATGCATCACCACACCTCCTAGATAACTTGCAAAATTTTGTTTGTGGAGACAGGGTCTCACTATGTTGCCCAGGCTGGTCTGGAACTCCTGGCCTCAAGGAATCCTCCCAACTCGCCTTTGCTGGGATTGCAGGCATGAGCCATCACACCAGCCTGCTTTTGTATTCTTGTGTGTAACTCTTCACTGCAGCTGGAGTGTGTCTGAGCTTGTGGAGAGGAGAGAGGTGCTCACTGCCGGGGAAGTGCAGAAGGCTGGGTGTTTGGGGCCTCTCCCAACTCCTGACCCATTTTGGAATCCCATGGCTTTCTGAGCAGGGCCCTGAAATATGCTTGCTTGTAGGAAACAAGGGCAGAGGGCCGATTTGACGAATTGACTTAAAAAAAATTGTTGATTCAAAAGTAGCAACTTGGCTGGGTGTGGTGGCTTATGCCTGTAATCCCCGCACTTTGGGAGGCCAAGGCCGGTGACTCACTTGAGGTCAGGAGTTTGAGAACAGCCTGGCCAACATGATGAAATCTCATCTCTAATAAAAATACGAAAATTATCGGGGTGTGGTGGCGGGCACCTGTAATCCCAGCTACTTGGGAGGCCGAGGCAGGAGAATCACTTGAACTCAGGAGGGAGAGGTTTCAGGAGCCAAGATTGTGCCACTGCACTCCAGCCAGGTTGACAAAGTTACTGAGACTCCATCTCAAAAAAAAAAATAAGTAAGAGTAGCTACTAATCACAAAAGGACAAAAACTTTGATTCCACTTATGGGAAGGACCTTCCATAGTCAAGTTCACAGAGGCGAAGTAGAATGATGGTTCCCAGGGGCTGGGGGAGGGGCAATGGCACGCTGTTCTTTCAGGAGGACCAGGCTTCCTTTTGGGATGATGAGAAAGTTCTGGACACAAATGTTGGTGATGGTTACATGACAATGTGAATGTACTTACTGCCACTGAAATGTACACTTAAAGATGGCTCAAGTAGTCAATCTTGTGTTTTGTACACTTTACCACAAACTAAAGAGCATAGCTAGAGGTGGAAGAGTTCAAGGAGGCTTCAGCCACTCTATCATACATGATGTATTGGAACTCACAAGGGGCCAGGCAAGGTGGCTCATGCCTGTAATCACAGCACTTTGGAGGCTGAGGCAGGCAGATCACTTGAGCTCAGGGGTTCAAGACCAGCCTGGGCAACATAGTAAAACCCCGTCCCTACCAAAAATATTAATACAAAAACATCCGGGTGTGGTGGTGTGCACCTGTGGTCCCAGCTCCTCGGGGGACTGGAGTGGGAGGATCGCTTGAGTTCAGGTGGTCAAGGCTGCGGTTAGCCAAGATTATGCCATTGCACTCTAGCCTGGGCGACACAGAGAGACCCCATCTCAAAAAAAAGAAAAAAAAAGAAAGAAAGAAAGAAAAGAAAAGAAACTTGCAAGGGCCTGGCAGACTGTGTCATCAGTGGGTGGGTCCTTATGAGCTTCTGCCTGGGAACAGTCGGCCTCAGGTCTTTTCTTGCTTGCTGCTGCTGGCTGTGAGGCCTTTCCCTTCTTTTTTTTTTTTTTTTTTTTTGAGACGGAGTCTTGCTCTGTGGCCAGGCTGGAGTGCAGTGGTGTGATTTTGGCTCACTGCAACCTCCACGTCCTGGGTTCAAGCAATTCTCCTGCCTCAGCCTTCTGAGTAGCTGGGACTATAGGCATGCACCACCACGCCCAGTTAATTTTTGTATTTTTAGTAGAAACGTGGTTTCACCATGTTAGCCAGGATGGTTTCAATCTCTTGACCTCAGGTGATCCACCCACCTTGGCCTCCCAAAGTGCTGAGATTACAGGCGTGAGCCGCCAAGTCCGGCCGGCCTTTCCCGTCTCTGTGCCTGGCTCCCACCTGCTGGAAACACTCGAAGTGGATGGTTTTATTGTCCCCATTTTATGGACAGGGAAACTAAAGCTCGCAGGGTCAAATGTCTGGCTCCAGGTCCCTGGTCTAGTTGGTGGCAGAGCCAGAGGTGAGCCCAGGGGTCTGACCCTGCAGCCCTGACACCTCCTTCATGGACCCCCTTCCTTCTTCTCCACTCAGTTTGACCTTGACACTGACCTCACAGGCTGCCTGCCAAGACTTGGCCAGGATGCCTCGCCTTACTGAGCACTTGCTCCATGCTGGACATGGGCGAAGAGCCCCTTACACATCTTGTGTAATTCTCACCACACCGCTAGGGTTAAGGGTGGTTGCCCATTTTGCAGATGCAGAGAAGTGGCAGTCAGGGTTCCACTAGAGAAACAGAACCAGTAAGAGGTAGGCAGGTAGACAGGCCAACATACCTAGAAAAATTGACTTATGTGATGGTGAGGTTGGCTAGGAAGCTGAAACTCAGCCAGGAGCAGATGCCACAGCCCACAGGTGAAAGTTCTTTTTCTTCTTTTTCTTTTCTTTTTTTTTTTTTTTTTTGAGACAGGGTCTCACTTTGTGAGTGGCCCAGGCTGGAGTGCAGTGGTGTGATTACGGCTCACTACAGCCTTGACCTCCTGGGCTCAAACCATCCTCCTGCCTCAGCCTCCGAAGTAGCCAAGACCACAGGGGCACACCACCACGTCCAGCTAATTTTTGTTGTTTTTGTAGAGACGAGGTCTTGCCTTGTTGCTCAGGCCGGTCTTGAACTCCTGGGCTCAAGTGCTTCACCCGCCTTGGCCTCCCAACGTGCTGGGACTACAGCTGTGAGCCACTGGGGCTGGCCACCAGTTCTGTTCTTAAGGCCTTTCAACAAATTGGGTCAGTCCCACCCAGGTGGTCTAGGATACTCTCTTACATAAAAGCAACTGATACAGAATGTAATCACATCGACAAAATACTTTCACAGACCAGCCTGAGCAACATAGCGAGACCCCATCTTTACAAAAAAATTTAAAAATCGCCGGGCGTGGTGGCTCATGCCTGTAATCCAAGCACTTTGGAGGCCAAGGCAGGCGGATCACCTGAGGTCGGGGGTTCAAGACCAGTCTGACCAACATGGTGAAATCCTGTCTTTTTAAAATTAAAAAAAAGAAAACATTAAAAATCAGCCATGGGTGCTAATGAGTGCCTGGCAGGTCCAGCCACTCAGGAGGCTAAGGCAGGAAGACTGCTTGAACCCAGGAGGTCGAGGCTGCAGTGAGCTATGATTGTCCCACTGCACTCCAGCCTGGGCAACAGAGGAGACCCTGTCTCTTAAAAAAAAGTTTCACAGCCGGGCGCGGTGGCTCAAGCCTGTAATCCCAGCACTTTGGGAGGCTGAGGCGGGTGGATCACAAGGTCGAGAGATCGAGACCAACCTGGTCAACATGGTGAAACCCCGTCTCTACTAAAAATACAAAAAATTAGCTGAGCATGGTGGCACGTGCCTGTAATCCCAGCTGCTCAGGAGGCTGAGGCAGGAGAATTGCCTGAACCCAGGAGGCGGAGGTTGCAGTGAGCCGAGATCGCGCCATTGCACTCCAGCCTGGGTAACAAGAGTGAAACTCCGTCTCAAAAAAAAAAAAAAAAAAGTTTCACCCAACACTTTGACTTGTTTGAGAAACCAGATACTACAGCCTAACCAAGTCAGCACACACCATCATAGTGGGCTAAGGTGAATCAGCTCACCCCTGGTCCCAGTCACCAACCCTTTGCAGCTTTTAAAACCTCTCCTACAACGAGAGTGATATGGTCCGAAAAGCATCAGCCTTGGTACCAAGCGGCACTGGGTCCAAATCACTGCCCAGTCACTTCCTTTCTCAGTGACCTATAGACTGCTTCTGTAGGGTTCCTCAGCTCCTCTGTAGAGTTGGGCAGGGCTGTGGGGGAAGGTCAGACGGAGCCTACATGGACCCTGGGTGCCCAGCCGAGGGGACTTCTGACTCCTCCTTCTTCCTTTGCTGAGTGTCTCTGTCCCCAGCCCCATAACGATGGCTCTTTCTTGCCTCTGCCACCAGCAACACGAAGCTGCACTACGAGAGGGAGAAGCCGCTCCAGCCCGTGGTATGGTAAGGAGACTGGCATTGCCTCTTCTGTGTCCCTGAGGGTGTTGGCTCCCCCCTACCACTGGTCCTTCTTGGTTGCAGGTCACAATACCCCCAGCCCAAGCTGCTGGAGCACAGGTAAGTGTCATGGAGAGGCCTGACACAGCAGGGGGAGGGGCCAAAAGAGCTCTGATTTATCAGTGAGGGTGGTGGAGGTGCCAACGTCAGGGTGGCCTTGGGGCCCACAGAGTTAGGGACTTTGGAAAGACACAGGGCTGGGGGTCAGGGACCTGGGCTGTGTGACCTTGGGCAGGATACCCAACTGCCCTGAGCTTTTTCCGTGCAGGTACATAATAGTACGTAGCTCACTGGAGGCCCAAGGAGCAGAGGAGGGGTATTGTAACATGTGCACCGTGCTGGCACTCAGTAGGTGCTCAGGCTGTTGTTCATGACGATGCTGTCTTGCCCTTATTAATGACCCTCATTTATTAGGGCCTTGGCACACATGGAAAATGCCAGGCTCCTACTCGGTGTGCATTAATTCCTGGTCCTCCCAACCCTGCTGGGAGGTGGCTATCATTATCCCCACTTTCCATTTGAGGAAAGGGAGGCCCAGAGACTGGGACGAAGTGGCCCCGGGTCACACAGTGTGAGAGCCACGGAGGGGATGAGACCTAGGCTTTTGAAGGGGAGGGTCTCAGTGCCCACGGCCCCCCTGCTGCCAGGCCCACACAGCTGCTGACACTCACACCCTGGCTGGCGCCCATCATCTCCGAGGGAACCTTCCACCCAGAGCTTCTGCAGCACATCTACCAGCCGCTGAACCTGACCATTGGGGTCACGGTGTTTGCCGTGGGGAAGTGAGTAGCGGGCGGGGGGAGGGGAGGAAGGCTCCCTGAGCCACAGGAGCTTACAGTCTAGGGAGGAGACCAGAGGTGCACACAGGACCCTTCTGGGCACCCGGGGGGCTTGGAACCAGGGGCCGAGCAGACAAAGTGCAGAGTGGGGTGCGATGGGGCTTCCTAGGGTAGGAGGTCTGGCCCTAGCATAGACAGGAGGTGGAGTCCAGGTGAGGGGACAGCAGGAGCCTTTGTCAAGAGGACCCCTTGCCCCTCCCTGCTTCATGTGGGCCCCTCCTCTGCCCTGGTCTCTCCCCTGACCCCACCTGGCCTTCCTTTAGGAGCGGTCCCTTGGTAGCCCTGCCCTGGGCCTCAGGGACTCCTACCTGGGACTGCTGAGAGAGGGACCATGACGGGCCCCTAAAGCATGGCCAGATGAGGAATGGCCCACTGGGGCAGGTGACCCCCTTGTCCAGTGAGTTTTGGCCTGGGGGTGGGGCTGTGTCAACCACCCCCCACCCCATGCCCTCAGCGTCCAGCACAACTCGCCACTCACTGCCTCTTGGCTGCTTTCTTCTCTGTGATCCTCAGTGTTCCTGCGTATACAACAGGCAAGCCTTAAGGTAGCTTATGAAGATCAAAGATCATAAGAATTCTTAGGATGTTTCTGGGCACCTAGAAGTTGCTCAATAAAAGTTCGCCTGGTCCAGGAGCATAAGAATCTCTGCCGTGGGGACATGCTTACAACAGCTCTAAGAGGCTGGTACTGGCATCTTGGGAATTGGACAAATGAGAACCCAGAGGGTCAGAGCAGAGTGGCATCTTGAGATGGGGAGCTGGGAAGTGGCCCCCAGCCTGGCTGACCCCAGCATACAGTGGGGACCCAGGCAGACTGCTGGGGTAGCAGTGGATGACTGCGTTATCATCACTAGGTACACTCACTTCGTGCAGTCCTTCCTGGAGTCAGCCGAGGAGTTCTTCATGCGTGGGTACCGGGTGCACTACTACATCTTCGCTGACAATCCCGCAGCCATTCCCCGGGTCCCACTGGGTCCCCACCGGATCCTCAGCACCATCCCCATCCAGGGCCACTCCCACTGGGAGATTTCCATGAGCCGGATGGAGACCATCAGCCAGCACATTGCCAAGAGGGCTCACCGGGAGGTGGATTACCTCTTCTGCCTTGATGTGAACATGGTGTTCCGGAACCCATGGGGCCCTGAGACCTTGGGAGACCTGGTGGCTGCCATTCACCCCGGCTACTACACCGTACCCCGCCAGCAGTTCCCCTATGAGCGCAGGCGTGTTTCTGCTGCCTTTGTGGCAGACAGCGAAGGGGACTTCTATTATGGTGGGGCGGTCTTCGGGGGGCAGGTGGCCAGGGTATATGAGTTTACCAGGAGCTGCCACATGGCCATCCTGGCGGACAAGGCCAATGGCATCATGGCAGCCTGGAAGGAGGAAAGCCACCTGAACCGTCACTTCATCTCAAACAAGCCGTCCAAGGTCCTGTCCCCCGAGTACCTCTGGGACAACAGGAAGCCCCAGCCACCCAGCCTGAAGCTGATCCGCTTTTCTACACTAGACAAGGATATCAGCTGCCTGAGGAGCTGACCACAGAGCTGGGGCTGCCATGGGTAGAGACCCAAAGCCCTGCAGCCGCCAGCGCTCTGCTCACGTGCAGACCCGCCCCTGTCCCGCCTACCTTTGTCAGTCAGGCGAATTCAGCCGGACAATGGACATGGAAAGGCCACTGTGAACTGCAGAGGGCTGTGCACACAGTAGAACACAAGATCACACAGTAATGTGGCGGAAGAGCGATGGGGGCAGGGAGGGGAGGCGCGGTTACAAAGCAGGCCTGGAAAGCCGGTCGCGTTCTGCAGCTGTGCCTTTGCAGGGCAGACTGTGAAGCCTTAGTCTGACTCAGAGTGCCTGAACCCCACTGCGCCAGCCCCCTGTTTATTGCATATTGCCCTTAACATTGCATTTCTAATACCCTAGGGTGAAGATGCCCTAGACCCCTTTTCTCTGGTCACAGGGGTCCTGGGTCCCTTGATGTCCCATAACCACATGTAGCCAATTCTTCACTCAGGCCCCCAGAGCAAGCCTTTGAAATGGAGCGAGTCTAGGCTCCCTCTGGTTTCCTGCACCCCCAGGTGAACCGCACTCTCAGGGACTAGCCACCTCCTTCTTAAGAGGGTTTGGGGCAGTTTATAATAAAGGTGGCATGTGCTCGACCCTAGCTAGGGTGGTTTTATTTTTTAATTCTGTTTTTGAGACCGAGTTTCGCTCTGGTCACCCAGGCTGGAATCACAAGTGGCGGGATCTCAGCTTACTTCAACCTCTGCCTCCCGGGTTCAAGTGATTCTCCTGCCTCAGCCTCCTGAGGGTTTCAACATGATGAAACCCCATCTCTACTGCAAATACAAAAATTAGCCGGGTGTGGTGGCGTGCCCTGTAATCCCAGCTACTTGGGAGGCTGAGGCAGGAGAATCTCTTGAATCTGGGAGGTGGAGGTTGTAGTGAGCTGAGTTCTCGCCACTGCACTCCAGCCTGGTCAACAAGAGGCAGCCTCTCTCAAAAAACAAAAATAAATAAACAATAAAAAGGGACGAAATCAATGAGCCCTAATAACAGTGACTATCCCCAGCACTCACTCAACCTTGATGTGACCCCCTCCTCCCCAGGCTCCCTGGAGCTGCAGCTTACACCAGCTGGGGCTGCAGCTGGTGGCCCCTGGTGCTGTCAGGGAAGACAAGGAGGGAGGTGAGGAAGAGGACGAGGCGACCTTTCTCCCCTCCTAGGCTGAGTCCGCTGTCATCTCTTGTCCCCCAGCTCCCAGCCATCCACCAAGCCGAGTCCAGCAGGTGGCATTGGAGTGCTGGGCGACAGGGTGATCCTGTATATTTGGTGACGCCCTCGCGCCGACCCAGCGGCCCCACCCCCACCCCCGGCTGGGGCGAGGGTGGCCCTAGGTCCTGGCGGGGTGGGGAGCACTGAGCAGGCGGCAGAGGCGGAGGGACACGTGAGATCGGCCGCACACAGCGCTCGGTGCGTGGCGCGTGCGCGCGGCGAGGCAGGGTGACGTGCACGCGCTGTCCGCGGTCCCGTGCAGGCCCCGTGTGCGCGCCCGGCCTCGGACACCAGGCCGTCTGCTCCGCGCGGGAAACACCCGCGTCCGTCCGCGGGAGGGAGGCCTGAGCGCGCCCCGGAGCGCGCCCCCGGAGCTCGCGCGGCGGGGCGCGCCCCTCGCACCTGCGGGCGGGCTGGGGCGGGGCCGCGGCTGTCCCCGCCCACCCCGGCCGGAGCCCCGGGAGCCGGGGCGGAACCGAGCGGCGGGGCCCGAGAGGCCGGAGCGCGGCGCGGCGCAGACAATGGGAGCGGCGCTGGCGGCAGCCGGGGAGGCAGCGAGGACCGCGGAGCCCTGGGCCCCGCGGGGACCGCAGGCCGCGCCATGAGCCCCGCAGCCGGGCGCACCCCTGCGCCGCGCGCGGGCCGAGGCGAGCGGCCTCTGCCAGCCCCGGGCCCCGCCCTGGGGCCGGCGATGAGCCGCAGAGGCTGAGGATGATGGTAGATTGCCAGGTGAGTGCCCGCTGGCCCCGGCCGAGGCCGGGGCCCCGCGTAGCGTCGCTGGTGGAGCGAGGACCGCACGCCCCCGCCCACGCCCACCATGGAGAGGGAACCCTGCGCCGCGTCCACGCTGAGTGCGCGCTGACGCAGCTCCGCGTCCAACTCCGCCCGGGACAGTAGGGAAACTGAGGACAGGAGAGGGGCAGGGACTGGCCCGGGGCACACGAAGTGGGCGGAGTCCAGAGGAGAAAAGAGGGTTCCGGCCTCAGGCCAGGCAGGGCTCGGCTTACCCTTCCCATGGGGTCTGCTTTGGGACTGACAGCCCCTAAGATCCTGGGGACCCCTGCCCTCCTCTCATGTGGGCTCTGTTGCCTGGGCATCTCAGCGCACGCACAGGAGCAGGCCTGCGCATACACGCGCACGGACACGCAGACACACACACCACGCACTTCCTGGGGCTCAGAGTAGGACGGGTCGCTGGGGAGGTGGCAATGGGGAAAGAAGAAAGAGGGCAGGGGCTGCTCTGCCGTGGGCAGGGTCATCCGGTCCCCAGCAACATGCTCGTGGCCATGGCACGGGGGTCAGTGGGGACACGCCAGGCTGATGGGCAGGGGTTCCCCCAAGGTTCCCAGGGTCTGTCTGGGCTGGAGCCACCCCAGGGCAGCCTGGAGATAACAGATTGTGGGGTTCTCTGCTTGCCACTGTGATCACTTGGAAGTAGGAAAAGACCCCTTCCGTGCAGACGGGGCTATCGGAAAGGAAGCCTCAGATTCCTGCTCTATAAACTGGAAAGTTTGGCTGGGTGACCCCAAGGGTCCCACAGGCTCTAGATGTGTCGGCCTTAGGTCTCCATTGGGGATGTCCCCCCTACCCACCGAGGTCTGTGGAAAATGCCTTCTTCTTGGAGATATTTCTGAGCTAGAGAAGCCTGGGGAGTGCAGAGCCTGGCCAAGCACTGGACCACTCTTCCGGGACAAGACTGTCCTTGTTGGAGCCTCAGCGTTCTTGTTTGGAATTGGGGCCAGAGCCTTGCCCTGATTGGAGTGAGGAGGCCTCATGAGTGAACTGGACACCCCAGGGCCAGCAGAGGGAAAGAGGGGAGCCAAGGAAGCTTCTGAGGCTCCTTGAATTACCCCCAGAGACTGCAGGTTCCTCTCCTTTGACCCCCTGGGACCCAGGAGAGCTGCTACCTTGACAACACCCAAACAAAGGTGTGTGTTTTGTTTTCTGGGCTTTCTGCCTGAGGCTGCTGTGCAAGTGCCGGCCACCAGGGGGAGGCAGTGCCCACTGCGCTCCGTGGAGCAACTGGAGCCGGAGAGAGCCCCACAAGGTCCCTCTGGGAGACCACCGCCTCCACTCAACGCGCACCCCTCATTACAAGCATTCCTCTCCACAAAGTTAGCTGCTCAGAGGCAGGAGGGGGCTCCGAGAGCCTCCTCTTTCCCTTCAGCAGGTGTGCCCAAGCACTCACCCTGGGCGCAGCATTGGGCCTGGGCGTGGCTCTGAAAATGACCCAGGTGGGCCTGCCCTCCGGAGCTGGCAGTCTGGAGGGGGTGATTGACAGGGCATAAAAGCAAACGGGCAAAGAAAGGGAGAAGCAAGTGCTGCGGTGAAAATAATGCTGGTGCTGCCAGCGGGGGCTGGGGCCTGCTTTGTGGGGGCCTGAGAGGCCTTGCTAAGGGGACATCTGTGCCGTGACAGATGTCAAAGCGGGAGCCAGCCCTGCACGAGTCTGGGGCAGTGTACTGGAGAAGCCTCAGCAGGCACGGCTGGGAGGCAGAAGTGAGTTTGGCCAGAGGAGTGAGAAAGGAGGCCAGTGTGGCCCAAGTGAGCTGGGGGCGGGAGGGGCAGCCCCAGGCCTGGAGACAGCTGTGTGACAACACTATCTAACGTACAGCTTCCAGCAGCGGACACTGATCATCACTCGATTTCTGTGAACCCGGTTCCAGGGCAGCTCAGCTGGGTGCCTCTGCCTCCAGGTCTCAAGGGAGGCTGGGGTTGGGGTCTCATCTATGGCTGGACTGGGCAGGACCTGCCCCCAGGCCATTCACATGTCATTGGCAGGATTCAGTTTTGACTGAGGGTGTCAGTTTCTCTGTGACTGTTGGCCCTAGCCTTCCCTTGGTTCACTGCCATGTGGGCCTCTGTGTAAGGCAGGCAGCTCAGGGCGTCAGAACTCACTTCCCCAGAGTGAGCGGCGAGGGTGGGAAGGAAACCCAGAGCAAAAGAGCAAGACAGAAGTCATAGTGTTTTGTCAGTCTTGGAAGTGACCTCGCATCCCTTGTGCTGTATTCTGCTAGTGAGAAGCCCAGTCACTAAATCTAGTTACCCTTGGAGGGAGGAGATCACTCAGCAGCTTCTGTACCAGGAGGCAGGGTTCTCTGGAGCTGGTGTGGAAGTTGCCTGGGACAGTGGCTGAGAGCAAGCAGTCAGGCCTGATTCTAAACATAATGGAGCCCGGGCACAGTGGCTCACACCTGTAATCTCGGCACTTTGAGAGGCCAAGGTGGGTGGATCACTTGAGGTCAGGAGTTCGACACCAGCCTGGCCAACGTGGTAAAACCCTGTCTGTACAAAAAAAAAAAAAAAAATTAGCTGGGTGTGGTGGCGGGCACTTGTAATCCCAGCTACTCCAGAGGCTGAGGCAGGTGAATCACTTGAACCTGGGAGGCAGAGGTTGCAGTGAGCCAAAATCATGCCACTGCACTCCAGCCTGGGCGACAGAACCAGACCCTGTTTCAATAAATAAATAAATGAACAAACAAACATATCGTAAGCCACTGAAGGGTGCTCCCTTATGCCACAGGGGTCGATATCTGATTTTTGCTTAATTTTCAACCCCTTCATGGTGCAGACTAGAAAACCAGACCAAGAAGGGAGTGACTTTCCCTAGACCACAGCACCAGCGCCAGCCTGAGTTGTATTCCCAGCTGTATCTCGCCCCTGTGAGAAGTTTCTTCTCTCACAGTCGTAAAGGCCAGAGGTCCAAAATCCAGGAGCTAGCAGGGCCCTGCTGTCACTGAAGGCCCCTTCCCTTCCTAACTCTTCCATCTCTAAGTCGGCCGTGTGGTGGCTAACGCATTTTGTAGTACTGTCTCACATTAGCACGGTGATGTCCCCAGGAGGTAGATGTTAGAACCATCCCTACTGTGCAGGTCGGGAGACTGGGGAGGCCCTGAAAGGTGCAATGACTGGTTTGGGGTCGCAGAACTGGCAAGAGGGAGGAGCTTGGTGACCCAGATGGCTTTCCCTCTCTGAGCCTCAAGCGCTGGGAGCCTGAGCACACAGTGGCTGGTTGTCCCAGCTCCCAGGGTGGTTGTGAGTACCTGGAAGTGCCCCTCGGGCCCCCTCATTCACCTGCCATCACCCTCCCCATTTCCTTAACCCCCAGCATTGCTGTCACTTGGTTTTTACGAACGTGTGAATATGACGAAGTAGTAAAGGATGGGATGCCTTTGTTCATTTCGTATCTGTCTCCTGGGCCCCGGCCATGCCAGAGGAGGTGATAACCCCGGGGAAGGGGCGGTGCTCATCTGGGGAGTGGGTGGGCACAGAGATTCCAGAAGGAGGTGTCCTGTGGTCATGGTTGATTCGAGGAGGGGAGGTGTGGTGATGGCGCAGAGGGTGATGATTGAGGCCAGTGTCTATCAGGTCAATTTCCCGTG